TGGCTGACTACATGTATGCCAGTGGGTTTAATTTAAGCCCAAGACAATGGGGATTGATTGAGAAGTAAAGGACATACTGTGCAAGATGTCCTCCCCCTGCCAGCTAAAATTCCACCCAGCAAAAAAACAGCATAAGCACAGCCTCTCGTCTTCGACACTGCAGTTTTGGCATGTCTATGAGTTCAACTTGAGCTCAAGATAATGAGTATTATGGTACTTACCAGCATGCAAACCATCCAGTGTATACAGTTGTGACCAGCACACTGTGTTATGCTCAATGTGATAGTCCACTCACAAGCAAATGCAAATAAGCACATTGCATTGATTACTGTCACTGCTGTCCATGTGCTGCAACCTTCGACTTCTTGCTCAGGGCTGCACTACTTTCTCTCTGTGAAAGCTCTATTTATACTGTCAACAAAGCTATGCCGGAAGCAAAGGAGGCTCTTCCAAGTGGCAAGCAAAGTCAACATTACATTGAGAATACCATGCCTGCCCAGCGACAACTGAAGAACTTCTGGATTGACTCATTGGAGGCTGAAGCTAAGGCATCTGCACCCAGCCCTCTGGCATCTCTAGGACATGTTCACATCCTTGAATCCTCATCATCTCATCCCCATGGTCAATGTGGTGCCCATACTGGGATATTCCCAGCTACTGCTTGTGTTAATGACAGTCCCATCTCATCTCATGGCCTGGTCCTTGCAAAGGCGGAGCTATCCCTTCAAAACATCATCCTATGTTTTGAATACCAAGATCCCGACAATGCAAAGGCTAGAGATGTAACATATCTTATATCATCATGAATTCTGCTCCATTTCATGCAATTTTAAGCTTGTTGGAAGCACACAAATTAGAGCTTAAGAACAGTCTAAGAGCCCTAATATTTTGATGTTTACAATGACCTCTGATAACATTTACCGTTTTTGTGCCAATTCTTCACCAGTAATTGGTCCATAGCCCTGTGAGTTTTGAACTAAATTCAATGTATATAGATGCATTGGAACCAAATTAAATGCCACCTTCTAGTGCAAAAAGAACAGAAAAAAGGAATATGTTTTGCAAAAGATACTTCATCCTCTTCGTTGTTGCAGTTTTTGTAGGTCAACCAATATCTGGACTATGGTGTATTTTCTTCTCATTCCAGTCTTATTTTGATCATGATGATTCATATACGAGAAGGAATGTTCTTTTTATTGAAATCTACTATACCAGTAGTTTCAGGTTATCTCAGGACAGTTCAAATTGCCCTTGTGTTTCCCCAGAACATCCTGTGATGTCTTGTAACACCCTGGGGAAAAGCTTACAAACATGTTTGTCCCAGGAAAAAAGTGATTTTCCTGATGCCCCATACTGCCATTTTCAGAAATCATCTCCCAGCCTTGATGGAGCCTGTAAATCTGACCAGGACCTCAACCACAAACAAGCAGGCTGATCACAGTCAGCACAACTAAAACCAGTATGGACAAGTGGGGATACATGACTGGGCTCTGTATGTCTGACACTGAATTAGACAACTTCCTGAATGTCAGCCATGTATGGCAGGCTCTGTTGGGTGTCTGATCTCTTGGGAAGTCATTACAAGCCCTGCTCCACAAACTGCCAGACAAGAAACTCCAAGATCGAAACAGGAGGATAGCAGTGAGGGGGCAGAGGCGACAAAGGGCAGCATGGAGACTCTTCAGTAAGGTGGCACTGCTGATGTTGAAGGAAATTGGGGTAACCCTGGGATGGCCTGGGGCAGGGGAGCTGTCTGATGATGGAGGACAGTGCTGAATGTCAGAAAGATCTCATCATACTGCTAATGAGCTGCTTACCAGAACTCTGGCAGGTAGTGAGTGTTGGGGCTTATTGTCCAGCATGCACTGCATGGCCAATTTGCAGGTGCCTTTTCTAATGGGTTGCTGTTGGTATGGCGAATGGTCAGTCTCTAAATTCAATATCAATAGGCTCTGGCAGGTGTTGCAGAGGGCAGCTGTACCATCTTCACTGCAAGTCTTCATATTTGGGGGGGAGAGTGAGGTGCACCTGCAGTCTGTTATCCTCAGGTAATCAGCCATCTCTTTCACCCCTAAATCATTGGTGTTGTGGGAAGGCATCTCCCTCAGATGCCAAAATGTGGTGATGTATGCAGATTGGCAAGTTCTTCCTGCTTTCTCAGATTCATGCAAGAACCTGAAGATGTTTTGAGGCACTGAGTAGTGAATCTCTAATTTCAAATTAACGTCCTCATGGCTGAAGTCCACTCCCATGCCACTGACCATTGCCAGTGCCTTCATGTCCCCTTCCTGCCAGGATTTCACCTCAGATTCCATAGCATCCTCATTCCCATCTGCAGGATAGGTGAGGCATGGAAGTGCACCCACAAATTCCTTGGCAACCATCTCAGAAGAGCAAAATACAACTGCCCTGTCCTGTGTTTAAAAATTGCCCAAGGCCTGCTGACTGTGGTTGAGGACAGTGAGTGGTTGGTCCTTGGTGAGGATAAAAATGGCCTCCTCCACATGACAGTTGGCAGGGCCCAATACTATGCTTTAGCATTGATCAAGGAGCTTTTTTTGAATTTGCCTTTGTCAATGACTGTGGGGATACTCTATGATATTGGTTGTCAGTTGGAGAGAAGGTGCAGGATATAGGGTTTTCTGGAGGAATTTATAGCATGCATTATTTTTGCACTTGCAGTGTTTCATGCATATGGTCACCAGTGGCCATGCCAACTAATCTACCACCCCCGTAAATGTGAAGGTTTTGGACTCTCTGATGGAGAGGGCTGTGAATGCTTCTGGAGTTCCATAAAGTTAATAATTCCATCAATGTGTGTGGCAGGGGTAAGCTGTCATGTGTCATCCTTGAAAAAAAATTTAATGATTGTCTAAAATAGTTCTACCATCATCTGTTCACAATTGATACTCAGGTGAAACACCTAGAGAAAAAGTCATTCAAGGTGATGGAAAAATGGCTTCAACATAAATGGCTGCATTGCCTAGAAAAGAAGATTGGGGCTGAGTAAATTCTCCAAGAACTTGGTCTAGAAATGCCTCTTCTTGAGAAAGAATGGAAAGACCAGGTTATGGCACAGACTAAGCCCTTGGCAAGACAGTCAAAGAATATTGCAAATAATGCTGTCAAAGAGATAATGGTTTTGTATACTGCAAGGAATGCATTTGCAGGTGACTTGGGAGAGCTTGATCAAAAGCTAATTTCTGGTGACTATGGAGATGATATGTTGGTGGAAGATGTCCTGTCAGCATGTCTGGCTGTAGCAAAGAAGCAAAAGGCTATAGAGGATACCATTAAAACAAAGAAGAAAAAGCTTGGTGTGAGGGATCAAGCAAATTTGAGGGATCTGATTGGCAATAAATTTCTTCAGTTAATACTCAATGCCAGAGCCCTCAAGCAAAGGCTTAGAGATTAAGTGTGCAATCAAAAGTTTGAGTTGGAGAGATTAGAAAGAGCATATCAAAATATAACTTCCAATGGTAAGCTCTTATTTAGGGTAAAATTATAGTGGCTGGCTAATATCTACTTTGATAGAGATGAAATTGCATTCACATGTGCAGAAACAGTTATGGTAGAGGTATATTGAAAGTTTTGAATGGTATGATGATTGATGTGGTATGGTTCCTTTCATTTGGTATAGTATGATGGTATGATTCCATATTCCATTTCCACGGTATGGTATGATTGATGGTATGATCACAAGTCAATCATATGGTATGAATAGTATGATGTATGGTATGATTCCATTTGTATGGTATAATCCCATCTCTATGGTATTATTGCAATGGTCTGGTATGGTGGCTGTCCATTCAATCTGCATGTGATTATTTTCATTGTTCTCCAAACTGTGGGAGGTCTCCAACAGCCCTCCTTTGT